CAACCACTGTTGTATTAACCAACACAATTATGATTCAGCTCCACAGCTGAAAGGTAAGTAAAGATCCTTTAGATCAAATTGTTTCTTGCTCATTAAGTTCTCGATAAAGAACAAATGCTTTGCAGTATCTCTTATTAAACTATATGTATGGCACAATCTCGGCATTGCGTTCGGCAGGCATGGAGCGCTCCACAGGTCTGTGGTCTGTTGCAGTGCGATCCTGACGTTGCCTGAACACGAGGCTGTGGAGAAATAACCTTTTGTTTCAGGGGAAGCCTTCATTTAGTAATTACAATCTACAGTTTTCATGGAAGGAATGCCATTTTTGGAAGAAAACTGAAACACATTGTAAGAAAGCTGTTTGATGCTTAGGCCCTCCTTCAGATGTCTTCTTTCCAATTACAAACAGGCAAATATAAACACCGAGGTGGGTATGTGCGGCGGTGCTCTTTATCTTATGAGGGTAATTACAGCTTTAAAAGAAGCTGGATTGGGCAGAAAGTAGCCATATAAACATAAATGGCCTGAATTTTTTTTTTTATGCTAATGGAGTATGTGAACACTAATGCGTTCAATCTTCTGCACTGTTTACTGTTGTGTGATTTATAATTAAAAAGCATATCCTCTTGTCAGGCATTTTGTAATTTCCTCTCCTCCGCAAAACTGTTCCCATTGATTTTATCTCACTAGATTTTAGCATTGCACTTTCAATAGCCCATTATTGGCTCATTATCAATATTCCCAGCTGTATAGCTTAGTAAAACAAAAACAAGAAGGATTTCCTGTACACGATATCACGTTTAATTACAGTATCTCATTAGCAGGAATTTTGATCACAGTAGTTTTCAGGCTATGTTAATTTAAAGGGAAAAATCAGTAGCTGTAACTGGAAAAAAACATCGAAAAGTGAGAACTAATTAATCTGGTTTTGGAAAAGATCGGACTGAAAGGTGCCATATGCTTTGTTGAGCCAAAGGCTACGTGGCTGTATGGCTATGCTAAACATCAGGATCAGTTTCAGTTTTATGATGAAAAATCAAAATAGCAAGAACTAAAAACACCTAAGGCCTACTCTGCTTTGCCAGAATTTCACTCAGACCATGCTGTCATCTCAGGAGAAATACTCCACTGTTGTGGGCAGTATCTATGGTAGAGGCTCTACATTTTCCTTAGCATTCTTGGAGGTCACAAAGTTACTGGTTTTATTCAAGTCTCTATAGAGGTACTCTGCCAATAACAACTGAACTTTGAAGTTCCTAAGTTATTACAAATATGGTGGGACAAACCTTACTTGATCACTGAGTATTTACATATGTATTTTTAAACACTGCCAGGTCAAAAATAGAGCCATGTGCTTAGCAGGATGAGCACAGATCACAGTCATTTCTCGCTCCTCTCAGTTATTATACTTTTTCTCAGTCTGAAACCTTTGCATTCCCAGAATATTACACTGTTCGGAGCTGCATTAGTCAAAACATTTAAAAATATTCACCTGGAAGTCTTTCTCCAACTATAGTTTAGAAACATTCAAAACTAACTATAGAAAGGGTCTAACATAACCAGAAAAGGTGGAAAGATCAGAAGTAAGGTGCAAAGATCAGAAGTATGGAGTGGCTTCTGTATTAGAGCTGTGACTTTTGATTTTCTAAGAGAGACATCTAAAGGAGGATACAACAGAGGTTTATAAAATCATGAACGATGCTAAGGAAGTGAACAGGGAATTTTAATCACTGTTTCGCAATACAAGGATTTCTTGCACTGCCCATAAAATTGTAGCACTGTCTTGTGCTTGGGATGGCAGTGTTAGGTTAATGGCTGGACTTGATTATCTGAAAGGTCTTTTCCAACCTAAATAATTCTATGATTCTAAATTGCAGCACATGAATACATTAATTTTTGAGGATTTTTATGTTCAATCTGTCTTGAATCCTGTGCGGAATATTCTAAAAGTGCAGTGTGGCTGCTCGTTCACCAGGGATTACCAAAAGTCACTGAAACACCATGTGAAAGTAAGCTATTGAACAGGACTAGGCAGAATCTAGTGGCTGGTAGCTGATTCCATCTACAAGTCACAAACAAGTCACAACTCCTCGGCCCTACAGAAATTACCTTGGTAACTGATGGAAGTGCCGATAGCCAGACCATCTTCTTAGATAACCGTGGAAACCCAACAGCTTTCCTCAGATAGCGGTCATGTATTTCACAAGTGCTCAGAATATACAGAGCGCAAGCAATGGCATAGCCTCCCCAGTTAGAGACCCCTGCAAAAGAACATCACCATGAAACCAAATTGTAAAAAAACTCCACACGAGTTATTGCAAAGATACCCAACCTGCATAAGGCATGAGGCATGTACAACGGAGACTCACGTAGCAATGGTGAACTGGAATGTGGATATGAGCTAAATATTGACATAAATTTGGAACATTTATTTCAGAAGAACACAATTGCTTAACATATTAAAATGTTTTCCGTAATATTTCAGATTGAATTTCTGCAAGTATCCATCTAGCTTAGTTTGTGGTTTGTCTTTCCAACAAAGCAAAAACTCAAATGGACATAGTCTATAACACAATTCCGCTTGGCGTAATGTCAAGTCCAGGAACTGTGAGGACTTCTGTTCCAGCCCGGTGTCTTTCGCTTTGAACCACACAGTGGTAGATTTTGATAAAGTATCCTAAACCAGGCAAATTTTTACTGGTGATTGATAGATTTTATAACGGAATGCTGTACCATTGCAGAGAATCCCTTTTTGGTCACAAATGATGACGGAGTAAAGAGTTCAGCTATTTTATAAGATATGAAGCCATGGTGAAACTAATTGTTTGTGTCTTGATGATGTGTCCTTGGTGTAAGTGTCATATACAAAAAGACATTCTAACATAAATTTCTTTGTATGCTGGTATCAAATCAGTCCACAGTCCTGTTTGACAGCTTCTTTGTCAAGACTGTATTGGAGATCGTTAGATTTGAAATTTGCTGTGAGAAGTTCTCTCTGCTGCCTGATACCTTTTCCAGAGAGGCAGACTAGCAAAACTTTCAAAAAGTGTGGAAGCTGGTTTAGCGCATGTAGTTTTCCACACTTCCAAACTTCCACCTCACTTCTCCTTGCAGGGTCTGGGTGTGACAGTTGCTTTCAAAGTAAAAATCATCAGAATTGCCAAAAGAGCCACCATAGATACTATATACATATAGCCATAAGAAGTAGATGTAATTATCACCACACTCTCATTTCTTCCCAAAAATTGCTGGTTTAGTACCAAAAGTGTTAGATACCTAGGTTAGAAACCTAGAAACCTGAACCTAAGTACAACATGGACCACTCAGTTAATGAATTGGCCCTTGCTGAACACACATCTCTTTCACTGCAAATTTTATTTCATGCTGGTTAAGAAGTTAGCATAAAAGAGAATTTCAGCTATAGCATTCAACTTTTGTTGTACATTAAGAATGTCCATCTGTCATCGAGTGGCTGTTGAAAGGACTTATCATCTTGTCACATAAGAGCAATACGACTGGTGACCCTGACATGGTCACACCCCCAGAAGCTCATCAATTATACTGAAAATTCATATGTGCATAGACATTTTAATTCCCACACAGCTCACTTCTGCAATCTTCCTCGTTATGTTATTTATGGTGTAATTTTTTCAAGAATATTCAGGATTTGCCCAACTATTTCCAATTAAATACACTTTCTTGATGGAACCTCCTTAATTTTCAGTCACTCCAGGTGAAAAAAAATTCCTGCTGGAACCGGAGTTGCTTAACTATTCAGAAAATGGACATAATACAGAGACAGATTTGTTTGCTAATGATGATTTGGCCATACAAAGAAAGGGCCAATACAAATTACTTGGAAAGATGGATGTTTTCTTGTCAATTCTATTCTCAAACACCAACAACTCTCCCACCCCCCAAAAAAATCCCTTACCGGCTACAACAGTAAAATCAGCTTCAACATCACAAGCTATAACATCTCCGTTTTTTATGTGCTTCTTTACAGCATCTTTCACTTTGCCCATTCCCAATTCATTTCCTCCATCTCCAACACCTTTATTAAAAGAGAAAGAGACCAGATGAGTACGAGCCCAGCACATAACTAACAATCCATTTAGAAAGCATCCAGTGCCTTCCCCACAGCCTCTGTGACAGTTTATAGCTCCATACGAGACGATTTATCCTTTTTAATCAAAAGTGTCTAAAAAAAGAAGACTGCGAATGAAACAGCTGAAAGCACCACCTACCACATGCTAACCTGTAAGTGTATATAGGCAATATATACTGTAGTGGTGCAGGCAAAAGAAATAAAAATTATCAGGTGTTCATGAACTGCAGACAGAATTAAGAAGTAAACTTTGCTTATGGGAGGCCTTAAATGTGTGTCCTATAAAACGCATTATCATAAGTACATTAGCACAAATAGAGAAAGAAGATAGAAAACAAATCCAAAATAAACCTGAGAAATTAGCCTATGATTCTTTAATAAAGCAAGAATAGAAAATGTTGGTTTGTTAAAATCTTTAATTAAAAAAAAGAGATTAAAAGTAGCAATTGTTGCAGAAAAAATAAGCAAAAATCTACGTAAGGACGTTGGCAGAAATAGGACTTACTGCACTGGCAATCTGTTTTATCCAGCTCATTGTGCCACAGCCTACAAAGAGCTCAACCCTGTACACTATTACTGTTTTCATTTTTTTTTTTTTTAGTAATTTATGACAAAAATAGCTAGACTTTTTTTTTTTTAATTATTTATATATTCAGGGTTGTGGGGCCTTGATTTTTGTTGGTCAAGTGGAAACACTATGTATGCGTCTCAGTGATTTCAGTAAAGTCAATGGGACCTACATCATTTCAGGAAAATTTTAAGCACACTTATGTTTGGGACATAAAATTGTTAGATGTCATTCAGAGCTCTGCAGATGAGGATAACACAGAAACTAGCAGCTTCCATGAAAGCTAGATACTACCTTTAGTCTCTTACCAATGTATTAAAAAAACACCAAAAAAAAAAAAAATCCATCTATTTAACAGGAAATTAGCACTTCTCTTCCACCCGTTAGTCTAAACTGCATCTTCTCAAGTTTGAAGATTTTTATGGAAAAATCCTAGTTAATGTCTGTGAAACAGAACAGTGAAGAGCTCCAAGTCCTCACTGCAATGTATCGTATCTGAACTTGAAAAGTGACTGTGCTCTAATGTATAGCACGTTACAGATGAGACATTACAGTATTTATAATTTACACTTCAAGCCCTGAAAATTAATAAATTTAACACTTTTAGTAACTGCATAAAAATCTCACGTAAGTTGGCAGCAAATTTCTTCTTTATGTGAAATTAAAAGTTATTGCTCAGCAGCAATTTTTTATTTAACTCGTTAAGTCTAAGTAGTCAAGGGGAGCGTAACTGAGTGACACATAACTTACAAAAACGGATTTGCCATGAAACAGCTCATCTTTTTTCTTATCTACTTTAATAACCCGTTCACCTTTATTTTGGTGTTGGGATTTAACGGTGCTTTAAAAAATCTGTTCTTTGGTAGTACTTTTCAAATAGGTCATGACATAATGACATGGTCCCTCTATCATCATATATAAATACGGTAGTTACTACTGTTCTGTAAGAATCCGCACAATGGCTTGATTTTTCTTATGTTCAAAATCCAAAATTTTGCTCTTAATATTCTTTAAAAAGGCTAAACCGAATTCTTGCCCTTTGAAGATCATGATCAGTTTCTTTAACTGAAAGACACTAATCCATTGCTCAGCGTTTTTTTGTATCAGCTGGCTTTGCTTTTTCTTCTGGTGGAAGTCCTGTCCCCAGGGTGGGGACACAGTTAGACGACCCACTGCTGCGGATGGGTCCCATTAGCGTCGTGCTGGGAGGAAAAGAACGCCACACCGAAAATTTTCCTGTACCATCTGTTCTCTTCTTCCTCGACGTGTCGGCAGAGGACTACATTTTACTGTACTACATTTACTACACTTCCAGAGTGAGATTCACTTGACAGAAGGCAGCCATCTACACGTGAGGTAGTCAGCTGGACGGCATTTAAAGCCAACAGAAACAGGCCCTTCAAAGAGTCGGTTCATCTCGCCCCAAGGCAGCCATCTCAAACACAGGTGTCTGAAAACAGAGAAGATGAATCCTTTTCTCCTAAAGGCCTGAGTCCTTTCCAGGCAAAGGCAAGATAGTTCTGTCGGATCTTCCATGCAAGTTTTCACTGACTCCATTGTTTTCTGAAACTACATTCATGAAAAAAAGTAGGATGGTGCAGTCTTCTGTGCTAAAAATCATTTGTATGAAAGGGAAACAAGTGTGACCGCATTTTTTCATGCAGTATTCTGGAAAGCTTTTCATTAGCTCCTATATAAATAGCATGTAGCTGTGTCAATTGCATGGCAGCTGAAAAAAAATAGCATGTGGTTTTGGTAACATCTCTTAATCTTTTATTTCAATCTTTTGTGGAATATGAGTTCTTCCAACCTCAGTCTTTTATGTCTTATTTTGTATATTCCTGAAGACTGCTGCTTACTCCATGACTTTTTATGATATTGGTAGAATTGTAGGCATTGTCTATTATTTGTCTGTGGTCAGACTCCTAAACCAGATAATTTTTTAAACACAGATCTTGTTTTAAATGCAAAACTTGACAGCAATTAATCAGTAGGCAATAAATGTTCTAGCATTGCCCCTCTCCACCTACTGACACAGTACTTCTTGCCACTGAGCACACTATATAAAGACTTCTGTAATGCTGAAAACTTGATCTTTCTAGTATCCTTTTCTAGTCTATAAAGTTATCTGAGTACATCGCCCTAATGCGTGCTCTACAATATTTGCATTTTATTTCGGAACTAGACATGTGCCTCCAAACTCCTACTGACCATGAAGAAAGTCAAAGATAGCCCCACCAAAAAAATTTATCTTAATCGATAGCAATACATTTTCATCAGTAATGAGAGACAAGATACAAAGGCCACAGCCCAGAATCTTGCCTTGTTAAGCTAGGTCTTGCAGAAATATGTTGAAAAAGCCAACAGCCATCCCAAGAAATTGTAATCAAATTAAAAAAAAAAACACAAAAAGTTAGTGTGATAAGCAAAATAAGAAATGTTAACTAGGCAACAGACAACGTCAAAAAAAATGACATTGTTTTTCTATAGGTACTCAGTTAATTCTCCAGCGTAGAATACCCATGTACTCAAATGCCATGGGAGATCAGAGCAGATACCCTCATTGTTTTTTGAAGCCTATGACTTGTTAAATCATTTTCTATGCAGACATGTAGAGAAAATCCATGGCAATAGGACACAGTGAATCTGGATAACTGCTTCTTTTCTTCTTATTCACAGGCTCATGATATTTTTAATTAATGACATTTCATAGTATATTTGAATATTCAGAGAATGTTTAAAACAAACTCAATTCCGCTGAATGATTGAAATTCCCACTGTGCAGAACACTCCAAACTCCACCAAATCAACAATATACTTTGAGCTGCTCTGAGAGATATTTTAAGAGATTTGGGTATTTGTATCAAAGGAATCAGGATGTGATGTTACGTAAGTAGCTGGAGAGACCAAGTCCTTGTACCAACACTCTAAAATCGGGGACAAAATAATTGAAATGAACTGCAGCAGATAAAGCTCTGAGGCATTTTGCTGAACATCTTTCTGAGACAGAACCTTTTCTATCCTTATTCCGTCAACCTTCAGCTTCTCTGCTGAGATTGCCAACAGAGTGCCATCTAGAGTGCTGCTTTTTGAATGTTGAAAGTTACTCCTTAGGAACAGGATAAAAATTTGAACTAAATCTAAGTAAAATGTATTAGAAGTTTTAAGATAATACAAAAAAATACCAGTGAACTCTTCTGCTATACAGCTTTTAAAGGATTCCAGTACAGTGAAATCAGACTATGCGTTATCTCTGCAGGCTCTCTGAATTCTGTGGAAGCTTTTGAAAAACGTCATTACTGAGAAGTCCAAGTTCTAGTGTTTTTGGTAATATTTAAGAGTGAGTCCATAGCACTAGAAGAAGGAACAAAGCCAGAGGAGCAGACGTGTTCTGATGTGACTGAAATTAGCCTGGCATGCACACTTATTTCTGATTTTGTGACACTTTTTAAATTTTGTTTCTAATATTTATATAGGTTATGTATCCCCTAACTCCATTTTGGGTCACACAGTGTAGCACGAAGCATTTGATTGTGCAAGGACATTGTACAACACTTTAATATATATCTGGGAATCCTTGATCTATGGCATATTCTTTCAAAACCAGATAGAAGTCAGTTTTCAGGAAAAAAAGGCCTATCGATGAAAGAGGAGCACTGTGTTGACAACAGTACTCTTCTTAGATGTATTTGCCAATGCTAACGTAGTTTTGGCAGGAAGGACAATGTATGCCCTTACAGATTATTCTTGTACATGCATATTTTGTTAGGGAAGGCACTATTATAATAGATGCAAACATGCAATCCCTGCTCAAGAGAATGTACTGCTAAAAGGCAATATAAACTAAGATTCTATCCAGACTGCTGTTTTCATGCAGGTGTAACAATCGTAAAAATAACCAATAATAAGATTCTAGTATATAGCAAATAACAAGATTCTATTCTATGATAAAAATAATATTTTAATATGTAATGTTTCCATTCAGTAGTCATTTGCTTTCTATGCTGCCTTTCACACACAAAATACAGAACAAAGCGTCAAAACCTACACTTAGAGAAGCATATGTATGCACAGCAATGTATAGATAATACCCACATCTGGGCTTGCTTTTTTGTCTTTAAATAACTGTGAAATCAACTCCTCCTTTTTTTTTTTTTGGTTGTGAGAACCCTTCAAATAGAAACCTCTAATTTTTCTCCAGCAACCGTCTCTAAATTCAACCACGACACACAGCTGTAGCCCACAAGCAGTTACTCTGCACCTGCCTCCTGCTCCCCTTCACTTCCAGTAAAGGTTCCTGTTTTGTGCCGCTCTTGCTTCTGAGAATACAACACAAACTCACACATACCTGTTGTTGCAACTCCTGGAATGGTTTGTGCAGCTAAAAATAGGTCATCTATGGGATCCACCAGGTGTTTAATATTCACTTTCCTGGCATTGTAATAATTGCCATCGGCAGCCATCCCAGCACGCTCTATTGCTATCAGGTGATCAAATCTGGTTAGAGAGGAGTGAAAACACGAGAGGAGAGGAGAGGGGTGAAAGCTGTGGTTCTTGCCTAGCAAATCCTTCTGTTGGCTGTTTCTCCTGTTGTGCTTGGTTTTTTTACTTCTTGACTATTTGGGATTCAAGGTAAAACTCAGATACTGTTTTTGCTATTTCTGAATGTAGTTGTCTATGGTTTATTTTCAAAGGTTAGCCTAGTTTCTTTATAGCTTCAGAGCAACTCCCTCAAATTGCATTTGCCATCAAGACAATGGGGAAGTTCCTGAAATCCTCCTAACCAGCAGCACTGTGGGTCAGCCATCTGGCCTTGCTCTGTTTCATGTTAAAATACCTAATATCTTGTAAGACATTAGTCTCTATAACTGTTATCAAAGAAAACAAAAAAGTGGCAAATTAATGATCATTTAAACCTTTGCCTGTGGAAATATAGTCTCTACTTAAAGCATGTTGCTTGGCAAATATTAATTTGTTTCTAGTTAGGGAGTTTTTTGGTTTGGGTCTTTAGATTGGGGAGATTTTTCTTTAAGCCTATGGCTATTTTGCTAGTTATGAAAGTAGACAGATGTACTGCAGATGTCTTTTAAGCAGAATTTTAGTACTCAGTTCTGGCACTGTATATTAGAATTAAGGTATTTTGCTTCTGTTTCTCCAATTTTACTGTCAAGAGGTTATTAATTCTGCTGAATTACTTAATGTGTTTGTGGGTTGGTATCTACGGTGACTGCAGAGACCTTAAGCAGGTTAATTATCTACTTTCAAGAAACGCTTACATTAGCTTTTTGGGTATCAAATGAAATAGAAACTGGCTGTAACTATAATATGCATAGCTATAAAACACATTTGTAAAACAATACATAAAAAATGAAGACAGTACCATGCATACTATTACAGCGTACAATTATAGCACACACTAACCTGTGGAAAGAAATGGGAACTGAATAAGCTGGTGAAGTAAATGCTAGGGTGAAAGATCTTTTTATTAAAGAGAACAAACTGAAGGTAACTACATTAAAATGCTTTACAGGGAAAGATCAATAAAAATGAGCAATGTATGCTTATTAAAGGAAATATCAGTTGCCTGTTAAGTAATGAAATGCGTGTACAGCTACTTAGTAAATTCTCCAGTGTATTAACCCTAATCACACACTTTGCATACATCTGAATTTTTGCCCAACATTGTATACTCAACAATGCATTCGCAAACGGTTCAAATCAATAGTGAGAAGTGCATGCATACAGCTATAATTTTGGCGTCGGCTGCCTAAAGACAATAGAATGATCACTTTCACACTATTACAAACATAGGATGTTTTATTAAATCAGATCAGGTTCCCCAGCTGTGAGGCTTGAGCCAAAGCTCTAGAAAGTGAACATAGGCCACAACTCTCTTCCTAGCTCTTTCACTGACTCTGACATAATACTTTGCTTCTCTGATTTTCTCACCGATTTAAAAACTGGTAAGATAATATATATATTGTGTGTATATATAACTATGGAAGAACAGCTGAAAAGATTTTAGAAATTTTTCAAAGGAAAAGAGCTATTAATATATGAAGTATTGTTTCTTTGGTTTTGTACTCCAGAAATGCATAATTGCAGAATAACATGGAATTCTATACTCTGTGTGCTCCAATACCAATATTTGGCTTCTAGGTTTGTTCTGTTCATTTCAAGTCTTAAGTATTTACTTGTAACCATTACGCCTTCTTAGATCATGGTCATTATTTTTATTATAAATTTACATAATGGAGGTGTGACTCGCTCTCAAAAACTGAATAAACATACCTAGGTCTTTCAGGATTCCCATTCTCACACAAAAACATTAAAGCTGAATCAGCGCTTTCCCTTTGATAACTCAATAGAGGGACAGGTCTCTTCAGGATTCCTACAGGAAAATAAAATACAACTCAGATACTGGGTACCTTTTTTATTAATCTGTGTTTGAGTAACTTTAAAAAAAAAAAAAAGGCAGAACAGTTAGGATAGTAAGGACTCAGTGTCTTTACACAGTTCCTGATAAGCTCCCTACGTCCTTACTTTAATTTAAACTTGTTTGGATGCTAATAAATGGGACCTTGAGATAGAAAACAGGACTACAAGAATAAGAACAGACGTCCAGAATTCATCACAAACAGCTAATCCAGAATCACTACCCAGCTATGTCAGTATTAACTTGATGTCAGCCAGGTTTAACAAAATGTCATCGTAGCAATGCTGATCAGGGCTGAGAGGATGAACTCTGGTTCATTCTTTGGAAAAAAGAAAAATCCTGTCCTAAGTGACAGTGAGATTAACTGAAGCAAACCTTGGCTAAAATTGGCAGGATAAAACCTGAGAAAACGTGTCTTACCTAGTTGAACAGCCTCTTCAATAATCTTTTTATTCAGATTCATGGCTCTCTGATCTGTTACTATGGCAACCTCTTTCTCCAAGGCCTGCAACATAGCTGCGATAGCGAGGGCTCCCGGGGGCCCGTCGTTCTCTTCCGGCGGCTCGTGAGTGAAGTGGGTAGGAAAGCCAGTTGTTACCAGCACCGACCGAGCGTGGGAGAGGGACAGGCAAGCCTTCAGCAGCTCGTCCTGGCGGCGGAGATGAATTATACCCCGCTCTCCTATAAAAGTGTTTTTAAAGAGAGCAGTACACTTCAATATATCGTTCTCCTTTTGAAATCTCTCTGTGGGTGAACTCGCATGCTTCAATGACATAAAATGAGTTTAAAAAAAAAACAAACGCTGGTCAAGGCAGGAATTGGGGTCATTTCCTCAGGAAACCTAGGAAGGTGTAGGATATGAGTAATGAAGATAATGGGCTGTGCTTCCAGGTTAAGAATTTCAGTTAACTGGATTTTGAAAATTACTGTAACTAGTATTTCTAGGTATTGGTGTAAATAGCTTTTTCTTTCTCCGAGAGCTTATTGCATATTTTTTCCTTTCCTGCGGCCTTCTGCTTTCCTCTGATCTGTGGTGACCGTCATGCCAGACCATGCCTGGCTACTGAAGCTAGATTGCAACTCGAGCATCCTAGGTCTTACAGAAGTTTTGATGCAGACTTCAGATGAGTAAGCTGGTCTCTTGCCTCTATTTAACTCTGTCCCCTTAGGGGAGAGCTAATTTTCAAACAAATTCCACTTAATGAAATGATTAACCACAGAAGTGAGGTTTCATAGACTTTGTAGGTTACCAGGGGACTTTATAAACTCAATTAATAGAGTGGTATCCAGGTGACTGCTAAAAGATCTTGTAACACTTAACGTAGTACAGAATCATGTTATCCGAATTTGATAAATAGGTGAATATTTACAGATGTCTCTTCATATGGGTCAGTCCCTAAAGCGGTGACTCTGTGTTATCCATGTATGTCTTTCACTGTTCAAATGCTTTCTACCCCCTCTCCCTTCCCTGGCACACGGAAACCCAAGTTCACAGCGCAGTCCCTTCCATTTGCTAGCACTCCTGAAAACCGCAAATACCAGCATGGTGTGCTGATATTCATGGGCTGATAGCGAGAGGTAAGTCCTCGCTATTCTTTTCTAGCCTCCTCACATCTTTGTCTTTCTCACCTTTCCCCCCACCTCTGCACTTTCCTCTTTTTGTCCTCAATTTTGCCCTCTGTTTCTCCTACGTAACATACAGCCAATATGTAGATAGCGGATGCAGAAAAAAGTTCTGAACAAAACTTAAGTAACAGAAGCAGGGAGATTTAGTCTCTGAGAAGTGGGGTCTGTTAACTGAGATAAAGTACTGTGCTCTCCGTTAGCAATAAAATGAGCTAACTCTTAAGTTAGGTCCTGTATTTCTGCAGTGTGGCACTGTGCCAAGCTGAACTCCAGAGAGTGGGAAAAGGAGAGGCCTTGTGAGTAAAAATAAACAGACCCAAACATATGCACACAGCCCAAACCCAGAGCTTGGGAGAGCTGGGCGTAAGCTGTTTTTGACTGCTGCCTACAGAGGATTTCGGAAAGTTTATGGGAAACTGAGATCAGAATTTACAGCAGACAGAGGGGACTAATTCAGTGGGTATTTTAGGAATGGCTGCGCTATTCAGTTTGCCTTTATTTCCCTCTCATCTTCCTTGTGCACACATACAGCCCTAGCTCTCAACCTCCCGTGGTGATCAGGTAGCTTTGGTCCATCACGCACCACCTCAGTGACGAATGCGTTAGCAGAGCTTGATGCAATTCCACCCATCACAGTGGGATGTTTGAAAAGCCCTTGCAACTACTAGAACTTTCTGGTAGGAGCATAGCAGTCATGAATATATGTAAAGAAACGTGCTATTTACTCAACAGTGAATACCCATGTAGCTGTTACCAGAGTGCTGAGGTGCCCTGTACTTTTCACAACAATTTCAGTTTTATTCACTAACAGTTCTTATTCCCTGTGGACTCTCCAGTCTGCTGTAAGCATCCATGCTTCTGTGTACTTTGAGAGTATACAGTCATCAAGATCAGATATTCCATTGCCCATAAGGTTGAACGGTTTTGGCCAGACTCTGATATTAAGTATGGTAACATAAAATGTAAGACCTAATTATATTAAACCACTGTATTCCAAAAGAATATTTAAAATTTTAAAATTGCCTTTAGATTCTTACTGTGTTCATGAATATCTAAAAAAGCAGGCTACGTTGTAACTACCTCATAACAAATCCACTAAAGGAAGAGAGTTTTTGTTTTTACCTGGATCTATTCCAATTAAGGTCTCCAGAGTCTTTATCTTTTGGGCTGCTTCTGCTGACACAACACTGTAACGCAGAGGATCTTGAGAAATGCAGTGGACTTGAGGGACATCTCTTGAGGACCTGACTGTGACATTGTCATTCTTTAGGTCGGTAATGAACATGCAGCCAGGAGAATGAGTAAAAGCTAATGGAGCTCCTAAAATGGGTGAAAAAAGTCAATTAAACACATCGTTATTGCAATAAATTGAAATATCGGAATGATAAAATCACAAAAAGCTATTTAATTTAACAGCACAGAATCCCTGCCTGATGACACGTTATAAAAACAGTGGTATTTTAAGTTACACTGCAGCAATTATGGCACTTTGAGGAAGAAATGCATGCATATACACCTGAAAATGTTTTTACTTTTACAAAGCTCATGTGGGTAGTTGAGATCAGGTTTTTCTACAATATCCTCTTTGGTATAAATTGAAGCAACTTAGGAACTGAACACTGGTACCCTCCAAGGAAGTCTCTTGGGAGCTGGCAAATCTGAAAATTGCATTTGACATGCATGAAGAAACTAGTGCATTGACATACGAACAAGTTAATGCTTAAGTTTGCACAGTGTGTTGGTGATACCATTTCCATAAGAATAAATTAATTTTCTAGGTTTGAGAGTGCTGCTGGAAGATATAGTGTCTCTCCTGTACCTTTGGATATCCTTGTAAGAGTGATAGGACAAAACTATGTCAGCTACTGCCCACTGGTTAGTAGTCATTCTTTATCAGATTAAGAAAATGGGAAATAGCACCTCTGCGCTGTGTCTTGCTGACCTAGCTAGGAGACTTATAAACTGGCAAGGAATAATAACAAAAGGTGACCAGTAAGCCTTAGCAAAGGGAATCTGAGTAGCATCTAAAACCCTGGTGAACAATAAACTTATTTAGACCTGACAGCATAGTAGCTGTCATATTTGCTGTCTTTATACTAATTCCAGAAGTCTTGATCTAGATTATACTTGATTTGGCAAAGTGGATGTGTTGGTGGATAAATCACAGCTGGTACAAGCAAAATCTTACTTTGTTAGGATGATGAAAAGGAAGGAGGTATTTCTTTAACAAGTAGATCTGTGCTTGATCTGTTGGGAGTCTATGGCTAGTTAATTTAAAAGCAGCTGGGGAACATGGTTGTTGTGGTTTAATTTGCCTCACCAAACCACATGAGTAGGCAATATTTTTTGTGAGAAGCTAGCAGGTTCAGCAAACGTATGGTTATTGGTGGTACGGCAGAATTTTAACTACCTAGATGAGAAAGGAGCAGAGAAATATACAAGCTCTGCCCAGAAAACCTGGAATGCATTAATGGCAACTGGTTTTAATACTGAAAATGGAGAAATAAACAAAAGGAAAAGCCAGTTCCAGGTAAAGGCAGGATAGACAGCTGCTTTGGGCAACAGATTGTAGAGAGGTTGGCAAATTTGTTTTCTCCTTTCCCTGCAACATGGATGCATGAAGAAGATGACTAAAAAAGCTGCATGGAGAAAAGGGCTTGTGTGTAAGATAGAAAAAGAATTCTCTGCTCCTAGTGCTGAATATATTTACAGCGGGTGTTGAGAGCAGTTCAGATGAACATCTGTAAGGAACCATGAGGACATAGCAGATCCTGCAAGCGGAGAAGGATGAAGCAGATGATGTCCCCAGGCTCTCCCAGTTATACCACCTATGATTATTAAGCTTCTTTTTCAGTAAGAATTAAAAAATGAGATTTCATTACACACTAGTGATTTAGAGCAGTATATAATACTGTCGCTATGGTTTAGTTGCATTTTCTTGCCCTTCGTGCTCATGCCTGTTATAAATGACTGGATAAAGAGCAGAAGAGCTCCATGCAGAGGACAAAGCTTCATTTATGTAAAGTGTGTCTCCTTTACTTAATTTTAGAACAAAACCTAAAAGCTCAAATTTTTCCAGGTCAATCAATTTGCTAGCTCTTGACATTTTGGTAAGATTTCTGGCTGCTTTTTCTTCTTTTTTCCCCTTTATTATTGTTTTACTGCAGTGTAATATAAAATAATATTTTAAAATGAAGAAGCTTGAAAAAGAATGCCTTTAAACTTCTAGTTTTTCTTTAAACAAAAGAAGTTTTGATGCTGCTGGAACTTTAGATTTCTGCCTTTAAAATACTCAGACAAAAGTGATGGAATTTCAGTAAGAACTTTGAGGGTGACAGAGCACTGGAACAGGCTGCCCAGGGGGGTTATGGAGTCTCCTTCTCTGGAGATATTCAAAACCTGCCTGGATGATGTCCTGTGCAACCTGCTCTGGGTGAACCTGCTTTAGCAGGGGGGTTGGACTAGATGATCTCCCAAGGTCTCTTCCAACCCTCGCCATTCTGTGATTCCTTGAAGGTAGAACTGTATTTCACAATGGGAAATAGTCCTGCCAAAGGTTTTTTTGTTGTTTGGTTGGGATGTTTTTTTGCTCACCCTAAAATCAATCCTGCTAATCAGCCAACTCATTCAGCCCATGTTTAAAAAGAAAGAATAGAGAGAAAAAGAGATTGAAGGATAATTTAAAAAGGTTCTCCAAGTATAGTACGTACTGCAGTTGATGACTGCTTCTACTCCTGTTACTCCACAGGCCCAAAACACTGGAATATCACCAGGGTGAAGGCGAACTGGATCTCCATAATCTGGTTTGGAAAGATCTTGTATTCCCAGCAGACCTAGAATTGATCAAAAATGAAATAATGAGATTCCAATTAAGCAGTACTACTGCAAAGCGGGGGGGGGGCAGACCCCAAACATTATTCAATGACTCTAAGCCGTGATTGCAACAGTGACAAGTCCCACCGAAGTGGCATATTTAGTTTGCCTTTGAGTGCATGTCCCCAGAACCTGAGCTGATTTGTCTTCCCTTTTTGTACTTGGTGACATCAGTAAAAATGTATTCGCTTTATTTCTGCAACAAAACACAAGCTAGATGCATATGCTGAGTTTGCAAGATGATATAAATCTTCTCTATCAACAGAAGAATTGTATTCATAACACTGGCAAACAAGAATAAATGATTGCAATGCCAAATGGATTCTTTCTAGAACATGTTTTCTACTGCGTTAGCTACCTATGTTCTTTAGCTAGAGAAATGAGCAACCACTCTTTTACCTCTCTGGGTTAGATAACTACATCTCACTCTTACCTAGCTTTCACTAAATTGTCTTTTGCTTTATTCTAACACCTACTTGTAATATTCTGGGTCATTCTAAGCACTTGCTCTCTTCCCTTGGTTTTAAATTCTTCAGATGCTTTCATATAACACTGTCTTTTCTGGAATTAATTTATATAATCACTTACTCTTTTCTGTTAAAAGAAATAAATAGTGGAGATCCTTACTTGCCCAATCATCTTGTTGCTCTACTCAAAGTAATGACTTTTTAGTGGTTCCTCAGATTTAAGCACTCGGACCACATGTATTGCTGGGTGTTCTGTTACTGACAACATCTCCTTCCATGCCTCTGCAATGTGATCCTTCTGTGTATGCGGCCCGTGAGCCTACTGATTGACATATTTCTGTCAGCAGAGGGGATTTTTTTTTATTGTGATCTGTCTTCATCTTGCAGGTGTTTGGTTTGCATTTGTTTTTTTCTAAACAGCCTCCTGTTTCTTTTTTTTTTTGTTTTCAGTTTTCCCTTGCAAAGAATAGGCCTATACTTGTTTGAGTCAGATTTAAAAAAAAAAAAAAAATTTGTCATATTTCTATTTATTCTGTCTTAAGTGTTGTGCTCAATGTATCCTATTCCAGTATTTTTAAAAATAATGCAGTGTTTACTTTCACAGTCATCTGCTACCACACAAAATGCATCCACACATACTTTTCCCTGTGCTGTCAATCATTGCTACCCTGTCACTGGAATCTCTGACAGCAAGAAAGTATTCACATATAAATGAAACTGCATACATTTAGAAAAATGTAATTACACTTTTTACCAAAACCACCCCTGCCATAAACTTAATCTATCTACATCAGACAGCTATCTTTTATCCAAGAAATCTCTGTGTTCAGCTCATTCAAAACCTACTTTTTTCTTTTTTTTTTTTTCCAGTTCAAGTTTGTGACTGTTAGAAAGGAGTAAAACATAATAAACTTACTGGTGCAGGTATTTCAGCCCATGGTTTCCCCCTCCATTTTTATGCACAGTAAAGTGCATGCAGAGTGAAACATGAAAAGCACTGACCAGGGTCTCCCATGTGAATTGGTGCTCCATGGGCTTCTTTCAATGCGGATGTTGCTATCACAGCTGCTTCCAACTTGCTTTCAGGAATAGGTCTCATTGTGACTACTAAGTTGCAGCAAAAAGTAGAAACACTGGAGCAAGGCACAGCTGTCTGGCAGTTTAAAAGAATCCAAGGTGTTAGCAGGAATATTGAATAATACTTCTAAAGTATTAGAAGAAATAAGTCTAAAAGTTTGTACTGTATTTGAGTTCAGAAAGGCTGCATACTAATATTAATTTTAAATCCTTTTAAAAAAGAAATTTCTGAGCATCCCATAACTTTTTTTTTTTGGTAAGATCTAGCAGTGCAGGAGTGAAACATTCCATCCTCAAGCTTCTTCATAGCAATCACTAAAATGTTCAACATTATGCATTTCTTGCTTCAGTACATGCAGCACACAGTGTGGTGAGCTCAGTAAATTCTGAATATTGTCCAAATACAACTGTGCTCCCTATACAGAAATGGAAAAAGCTAATAAAAAGTATCACATGGTGACAAACCTACTTGGTTGGAACCTGTCCTCTCTATTTGAATCCAGGAGAGCTACAGTGTTCTGTGGCATGCAGGGGTCAGGAACTCCTGCTGCTGGCAGTACCTGCTTCTACAGAAGCAGCATGCAGATTCCACACACTAAATCTTTTGTGCCTCTAGAAAAGTTCCATGGAATTCCTTTCTTCATCCTCACTGACTGGGATGCTGAAGCACCTTTCCTATTCAGGAATAAAGCAATCTGGCTTTTTAGAACAACATGTCTGAGATCTAAGTCGCATTTGAACACAAATTATGTAGACAACTAGAGCTGTACAGAAAATGTTCATTAACAATCTTTATAATAAAAATCATTATATCTGTCACTGAAGAAATACCCTGTACAGTTCTTCACAGTATTGATGTGCTATAAACTATGAAATTTTTATAATTCTGAAATGTTACAAGCAGATACACAGTTGTATTTTTTTTCTTTAAATTTGGTAAGACGACTCTTGTATGAGACATGCTTGTGCCTTCATTTTGACCAGGCGTTATAGCAAAAAGATTGTGAAATGATAACACTGAAAACAACAATAACCTGTGTCTAGGAGAACAGCATATGGACTACATGGCAAAGGCATGCAGATGTGGACTTAAGTGTTCTTAATACTAAAGGGTCTACCGACTGGAACCAGAATTATTTGAGGACTTCTGCCAACATAAAAATCTGCACTATAAATTTCCTGAGCACAGTTACAATTTTCAGTGCTATGGTAGAAGCCTCAAGTTTTTGGGAACATCTTCTGTCCCAGAGGTCTGGGTTCATAGCAAATTTGTAGTTTAAAGGCTGCACTGTCACCAGAAAAATCGAAAATGTGGTTGTCATAGTAGCTGTTTCTTCTGCACGTGTCCTGGCTCATGAAAGGAATATTCCTACTGCAAGCCAGAGCTGGTATGGAGAGCAGGACACGTACAAAGGCATGGTCAGAAATAGTGCATGGGTCACCAGTTGAAACAGAGAAGGCAAATCAGAACAGAATCCAAATGAAATGGCTGCCACCATGCACAGGGAAAAACTTTGTCACCATAAATGAATAAAAAAGCAGGCTGGCCTTGCAGGAAGTTGAGAAAAGCACTGAACTGAGGCTGGGCATATTTTACCCTGTATTTTTATGCACTTGGCACTAGCATGTGCCTAAAGTTACTGTGCAAGTAGGAAAAAGATCTGATTTTGAGCCATAGGTATATGCACATAATGTGAATATGGACAAATGCTCAAAGGCAAAGTTACGACAAAGACCATGTGTGTGTGCATAGACTTACCTTATACATGCTTACATTACATTTTTGCTCAACATTTCTTATGGGAATGCCAGAATTTTGGACTGCTTTTTCAAATGAGAAGCTGCAGCCTAAATAAAAAGTCACCATGTCCTTAAGTTCTTCAGAATACTCCTTCAGGCTTTTCAGTAGTCCGGTACAAGCTCCGTGCTCATATATTCGGTACTGTAGGCAGTCAGTTCTAGTGAAATAAGAAGTTATCACAGCTTTGCCGTATTTTTTCAAAACAAGGTGAATTGTTTGAATTGCCATTAACCCAATATCAAACCACAAGATACAGCCTACTTTATCAGTTTCTTTTCTTTCTATCAATGAAACAAACGCATGTAAAAACCCCAGCATACCTTATTCTGCACAAAACCACACCAGTAAGCAGAACATGATAAGAGTTTGGCATTTTTTTAAGGTTTTATAAGTAAATGTCCCTTATACATATCTTGTCTTGGGGCTTTAAAAATTAGGGAGCTCTTTTAAGTCTTGCTTTTAGTGTTAACTACAGGAGTTCATCTTTCAAATTTCAGAGATGATATGTGGTCACCATGCCTGCATTACTACTAAATAAAACAAAGGTAAAACCATATTATTTAAGTCTGCTGGCTCAGACTGCAAAGAATTTAGAAATTACATAAAATTTCACTTTTGCATTAGAGAAATACTTGTAATACAGACAATTATCATAAGGTGTTTCTCAAGAACCAGATGATCGGGCTGTTATATTCAAGCATTGTTTTCATTCAAAAGTATAACTCCCAGAAAAGAAATCTGTTCCGAGTGTACAACAGTTGTGAGCAGGCTGTTACCCGAAACCCTCCTAATCACCACCAGCATTCATTGCAGAGCTGGACCGTAGTTACCTGATATCAGAATCACTACTCAGTGAAGGACATTTCCAATCACCTGGTTTACTTCTGTACAGCAGTGGCAGGGGTCCGTCATTTGCATGGCAAAACTTCTCAAAGTCATCAGCCAATGACTTGTGCAAAATCACGATGTTGGCCTGTTTATAGCCTAAAATTGTGGAAGGTAGGAATGACTGGTTATTAATTCAGCTTTTTGTTTGTGAAAGAGTAACTTTTCTGTATAGATTTCTTTACATGGTCTATAAATCTCCCTGGAGGTATTTAAAAGACAGGTAGGTGTGGTGCTTAGGGACATGGTCTAGTGGTGGACTTGGCAGTGTTAGTTTAATGGTTGGACTTGATGATCTGAAAGGTCTTTTCCAACCTGAACAATTCTATGGTTCTATGATTCTAAAAAATTACCTCAGGGAAACTTTTGATTCAGAAGTCCATGATTAAATGAAACAACATTTTGAAATGTTTTAAAAATCATAGCTAGATGTACATAGCTAGATTTGAAGTTGTTCACAGCTAAAACAGTTGGCAGACATGGGTAGTACTAGAATATGAAGACAGCATAATTAATAAACACTTCTGTGAATTTCTATATAAGCATAATTGTGCTGGTTTTGGCTGGGGTAGAGTTAAGTTTCTTCACAGTAGCTGGTATGGGGCTATGTTTTGGATTTGTGCTGGAAACAGTCTTGATAACACAGGGAAGTTTTCGTTACTGCTGAGCAGGGCTGACACAGAGTCAAGGCCTTTTTTGCTTCTCACCCCACCCTACCAGCGAAGAGGCTGGGGGGGCTTAAGAAGCTGGGAGGGGGCACAGCCAGGACAGCTGACCCCAACTGACCAAAGGGATATTCCATACCATATTACATCATGCTCAGCATATAGAGCTGGGGCAAGAAAGAGGAAGGGGGAATGTTTGGAGCCCTGCTGTCCTAGGGATGGCTGAATACCTGCCTGCCCATCGGAAGCAGTGCATTAATTCCTTGGTTTGCTTTGTTTGTGCACGTGGCTTTTACTTTACTTATTTAAGTGTCTTTATCTCAACCCATGAGTTTTCTCATTTTTACCCTTCCGATTCTCTCCCCCATCCCACTGGGGGGGAGTGAGCAAGCAGCTGGGTGGTGCTTAGTTGCCAGCTGTGGCTAAACCATGACAATAATTTATTACCTAACCTGGGAGATTAGTATTCTATAGGAAAATGCTTTACTTCACAAATGTTAGCATAGAGCCAAAGAAAGTCTATTGCATACCACACTTTCACCATTTTTTCCATTTAATACTAAGCTATAAATCACGGCCAGTCCAACAGTAAACTCCTGGTATTTTGATGTTATGCAGCCCATTCTTTAGAGCTTGTTGGCTATGGAATTTTACTGTGGGCTGCAAATTAACAGACTTAGTTACAGCTCAGGAATAAACTCTTGCCTGCCACACTGAATCTCAGTCATTTCTACTATTTCTAATTTAAAGAACTGAAATGAACAAAACTGCTACAGTTTCTTCACTTGGAATCAGCTTTGACTTAAAAGGTTGTTGACTACTACCATGCGATAGCTTCTAAAGACATTAACATTTTTGCAATGAGTATCAATGAAAAAAGCTCACATTCAGTTATTTAGCAAAAATTCATTTTCTAAACTCAAGTAGTTAATACCAATGTCATTTTTATTTTCCTGCATGTAAATAGCAGCTGTTCAAATACCGAGAGGAAATTTGGAGTACAACTAGTCTGTGGTGTATAAAACTGCCAATTAGCAGTCCCTAACTCCTATATTGATACTGTCTTGGAAAGTTATTACTGTGTCTGACATCATACAGGTGTTTAAAAGGCTGCATAGAAGCTCTCACTTTCTTAAATACTGCAGTAGTCTGTCATCCAAGAGGCAATCATTTAGCTGAAATCAATGACCTGCCTTAAAAGGCTGTAGAAAATCAGCCAAATCTTACTCTTGACCAAAGCTAACAAAGAAACCAAAAGATAAAATCCTATTCCTGATGGAAAAATGCAAAGCAAAGGCTGAGGTAAGCATGTATTTGCATACTGAATGTGCCCACAAACTACTCTCTTGGGAGTACTCAGCACAAAAACTCATTTTATTACTAGCAAAAGTTACTAAATACAGAAACAGTTCCTTGCTAAATACAGAAATACATTTTTGTTAAATAAACATACTAAATTTACTACTGAATAAAATACTATATTCAGTTACCCCTCAACCTCATTCCCTGCTGTCCATGTGAAATCCACAGGCACTTTCTACTTTGCTGGTGATATTCATAAATTCTTAAAATTATTGTTTGAATCGGTGCTTTCAACTCAGACAACACTGAATTTAAAATACTAGTCACAGCTGACAGACCGAATCTGTAGGTAACTTTGAGGTACTCTACAAACTCAGGAAGCTTCATTATAACACTTTGACAACTTTATTGCTCCTCCTGATAACTGTTCTTACTTTCTTTAGAGATGAAAAGGTATTTTCCTTTCCCCTATAAGCTTACGTATACACTTGCATAATGTATCCATCATTATGAATATATTCATGAGCAATGTTAGTGAAGCAGGACATGCTGGTCAACCCGTGCATTAATTCAACACACTGGTGTCCCAGTTCAGATAAGTTTAGAAAGAGTTTTTAATTTCTTTGGTGAATGACAATAAGGGCAATAAGTAATAATTATTTTAGTAGTATATCACCCAACAACATAAGACAATTTTAGGGGTTCTGAGAAATTCCAGTTACCCTAGGCTTTTTAGTCTCTGCATAACGGAGCTGTATGCTCATGGCTAGAAGTCTGAACTTGTTTTGTATGTAAACAATACCTTTTTCAAATGTTAAAAGTAAGATATTTAAAACTACTGGAGCAATACATGCACGTAAAAACACAGTTGGGGCAAACTGCAGATTGTTAATATTATAACATGTTTTCCATTAGTATTTTTCAACTTATGTACTGATGGAGAAGAAAATCATAATTTCAAGACTCACTACGATTCTATAAAATGACCCTTAACATTCTTATGTTATAGTAATGCTACTACACACAGCTTTGTTGCTCAGCTATTTGCCACAGTACTTTTAGTTAAGTTACACTTTAAAGGTGATCAGAACAATGACACAGTCTCTGCTTCTGTAAAAGTCCATCTGCAAGGCAAGACAGAAATCTGTTTTCCAGAATGCATTCAGTTATCTGAGTGTAAAACTATTTTTCCCTCCCCCTTATAACTCCCAATCTTGCTGAGTCAGTAATTTCCAACTTCTGAAACAAATGAAGCAGAAAACCACTTCTGTAACTATACGTCTCATTCTTCCACAAAGTGTATCTGATTCACTAAGTAGAGCAAGGTCTCTGTGAAGAACCCAGTATGTCATCCTACAAATGTGATAATACTGTATGCAAGAAAAGCCAGATTTGGTTAAAGATTTTTCCAATATTTTCTGCATCTGTAATTTCTCACTGACATAACTGGGAGGTGAGGAACACACTGCAAACTTTGAAAACAAAGTCCATGTACTTTACACAGCTAGGATGATAATATTTTCTCTGATGTAGTTTATGATTTAAGAACACCATGCCAGGTGCTTACAATGTGATTTCAGAAACACCCAAGTGACCTAAGAACATAAGTCAACTTAACATTTTCTTGTGTTTTACTTCTGTGCTTTTGATATTCCTACATTCCTTCACAAACAAAAAAAGAAAACACATAGCTAGGAATCTAAAATGGAGTAACTTTTGCACTTACAGCTGTTAAGTTTACCTACCCTCTGCCATTCCAGAAGTATTACTAATACTGAGTCTGTTGCATCGAATTACTCTTCTTAGCACATGGGGAAGGAGAGATTTCAAGCCTCCTGTCAAAATCATCTCTTCAGCCTTAACAGAAAGATAATTATAAATTTAAACAAAGCACATTTTTTTTTGACATTTTAAATTCTGATTTGCTGGAGAACTTAGCTTAAGTTTCCTCCTTGTGCTCCACCAAGTTGTTATCACTTGGAAATTCTAAGTTATAACCCAAAAGGCAGATCAAAGTCAAAAGGTTAATTCACTAACATTTTATGACTAATGCCAACTGAATCTTTCAATAAATTAGCCAGAGACATGCACTTTAACATTCAGGGTAAAATGCAAAGTTTTGCTGGCCTGTAATGTAGGAAACACATTTCTTTCCTCCCTGATAAATATTAATTTCCTGGAGTATTCACTTTTCCAAAATTCATTGTAACTTTAAAATTGCAAAAGCACAAATGGATTAACCTACCAAGCTATAATCTGTAATACTACTTCTCTGTTCAAAATGCTTTTAGACAATTAGCAATACAGTCTTGCGGTAATGAGAGAACTATATTCAGAAAATGTCATTTTAATACATTCCACACGCATTATACTTTTCAAATATTAATTATGTAGAAGCGAATACTCCTGTGGCTATTCTTCCACTGGGAAAGCAGATATATACATATTTAAGTCACTTGTCACACAATCTGGAGTAGGAACAGAGGCAAGTACCCAAATTACAATCAATACCTGACTCTTTTTACATCTTTTGGAGATTTAAGATATCTTTTTTTCTGCAATCCATTCAAAGTTCACACAAAGTTTTTCCCTCAAACTAAACTGCCTAATAACTAAAACGGGTTTATTACAACACTATTAGGAAAAAGTGAAAGATAGCTCAGGGTAAAATAATAACTTGGCTGCTATTGATTTTAACTTTGGTCACTTTTAAATAAAGAAACTGAACTATTCTCCAAGTAATCAAATTACCAACCTCCAAGTTTTTCTTTAATTCAGAAGAAGCCATTCCTGATGTCATTCATAGAAAGTAATAAATATGATAGAAGCTGTGCTGCTTTTTAAAAAAGATGCCAGTAAATTAATGTACAATGAGATGTTACAACCTTCTAGCAAAAGTTAACTTTTCTGTTAAAGGTCCACAGTTTTTGCACTATAACTATGATAGTGCAAAGTTTCACTGTCTCGGTGGAGTCGAATGTAAGTGAAACACTTTACTATGAAAATTTATACCTCTGAGCAACTTGTTCCTTAATTAACTTGAAGTAAGAGTAATAATATGTTTTGACTGAAATTATACTCTCATCATAGGTTGTCTGTCCAAAATGTTTCCCAAAGCTAGCAGAATTATGAGAGGTTAAGTTGGGTGGACTGAAATTTAGAGTAAGCTTTGTATCTATTCTTAATTCTGAAATCTTTATATAACATTGTCAGCCAAAAGAAATCAGTCTGCATCTTTTTTCTGAACTCTAACTTACTACTTTCTAACTCTTCTCATCTTTTCTGCTTTTACATTATCACTCTGTATGCTGCACAAAAAATGCTCTTCATTACAAAGTCATGAACCATTCCAAATACACACTTTAAAGACAACAAGAAATTGGATTTAGAAATGTAGCTGAGCTCTAATCTAGGCCTATAAGTGTCAGTTTAAGAGACATTATTCTTACTGCAAAAAGAATTTTTAACACCAGTCTGGAATTGTTCATTCAAGAAGTTTCAAATTAAATACAGTAATCCTAATAAAAAATTCCAGTTGTATTCATTAGATTCTTTCAGATTGTTTTTCTTTATTTCTATAGCTTTTCTTTATTTCTGAGCATCTTTGAAGCCATCTAAATAATCTACAGGATTGATGGCCTTAAGAACTTCTAGCCTACTTTGACTTGAAAGACAGTTCAGGAACCTACTTTGGGACAGAAGCTGTCTTCAGCTAGGTATTTTATACCAAATGCCCTGGTCTGATGTTGTGCAGGGCTGATTCTTCCCTCACAAAGTGTGTGGCTAGTAGCAGAAATGGAAGTACCTATGGGATTTTATCAGCAAACATTTAGGATCCTAAAAATTTTAGGTTCATATGACAGCAATGGCTAACAAGCTCCAGGACTGTAAATACCGGTAATGCCAAAATGTTGGCTGTAAGTACTGTACAGAAACACTTGGGCTTGTAGTCCCTATTTGTGAACCTAGGCCCTAGCTGCAAAGCAACATACATTGTTGATGTCTGGTTAGGAAATGAATAATTTAAACATTAACTTTGTATAAAAGCAGACTAATTCATCTCTTTCAAATGAGAGCTAAGACTCAACTTATGACCATTTGCTATCACTGAAGTTCCGGTGGTGATTTTATAAAACTATAGGCAAAATCCAATTGGATTAACATCCTGAATTATAACTTTAGGCCACTGTATTTGCTACACAATATTAATAATAGATTATGCTGCTGTTTTATTTTCTTAGTTGCTAAATTTGGATAGATGATAAAAACTGTTAGATGCTGATAGTAAAACCTAGTTTTTACTGACTTCTCCAGGAATGGCTATAGTCTCTGTGCGGTGTGTTATTTCCCTGTGCTAGGGGCATTGTCAGGTTTAGATTCTCCAACCATCCCTAGGACCTCCTGGAAAATCATTGAAGCCATCATTCCCGTTTGGAATGACAGGGGAGAAGCACCACGATAATTCACATCTTGCAGCATCTTCTCCACTTTGTCCCACCGGGATGCCTAATAAAGTGCACAGACTGACTCCACGGGGTCCTCAAGCAGCACCCTAACTGAGCGGTCTGGCACAGCTGTTAATCAGTTATCAGGATCTGTCTCCCAGCAGAGGTTTTTCAACTCAGAGAGTTTCACTCTGAGAGAGTTTCAGATAACCATAAGTATCAGTTATCTCATGGGGGTATGTTCGATCACGATACGGATAAGACAGGGTGCAGGGTAAGTCTTAAAAAGCCCTTAAGAGAAGATGCTGACAGAGCTTCTGAGATGGTTGTGGTGTCTGAGGGCATCCCATATGTTGTCCCCTCACTAAGGGACCCTAAGATCTGGCTTTCCAGTCTGGGTTGCCTTTAATGGAATGAACCTCTAAAGCAGACAGTCCTGGGTAACCAGTATTTGAAAATCAGGTCATTTACTGGCTGTATAATGACAAACTTCATACTTAAAGCACCCAGTCTGAGAAAACCCTTGTTCTAAGTCATGTTGCTTACATCAGACTCCCTGACTTACAGTACCAACAATGAATACTGTAAAGCTTCATAGCACTGAAGTGTCAAGATCACTCCTAAAGAACCTTTTCTTAAACATTTGGTTCCAGATTAGAAGCACAAAACCCACTTTTCTTTTTAGAGGTTTACATGAAGATTCAACATATTTCATGAGTATTTTGAGTTTTACATGCTGAACTTAAATGAATAAGTATTAAAATATATTGCTATCTGACACACTAAAATGGCACTTACCCACTATAGATTTGTGGGCACTGCCATACCCTGAGCTGTGCTTCCAGATCTTGACAAGGATGATTGAACTTCAAAGCTGGAAAGAGACAATAATGTACAAGAATGATCTATAGGAATGATGTAAGGAACTGTGTGATCAGACAGTGATGGCGGTATGGCATATACCATATTAGTAGTTCAGAATAATCAATCAACTTGTCAGAAACAATATTGTATTGAAATGACATTATATTAAAAAGATATATATATATTCAGGAAAAAACTTTTCTTTGCATCAAAGTGGCAGTCAGGAAGTACAGATATCTAACAGTTTTGATAAAAATCCTAAACTGATCTTGGATCTGGTTTTAATAAGTAACATAAAATAGTTAGGTGACATCTTCATGAAGTATATATCTGCGTAGCACCACTCCAGCAGAGTTAAGCAGATCCACACAACCTGATTAATCTGGCCCAGATGATTTGCAAAATATCCCATTACCTGAAAAATAACAATTTTCAGGAAGGCCAGATTTGGAGGGTGGCTATCTTTTTATTCAGAAATTGTGATCAATTGTTGCCATGAGAAGCTCTAAGTCATCAACCACTTCTACATGCTGTTCTTAGCATGCTAACTGAGTATGGGTGACTGATCTTTGCTAAGGTGATTGGAATGGGACTGATTCTAAGCCTCATCTTTATAAATGATTGTAAAGATTATGTGCTATTTCCCCTGAATCCCACAACTCATGTTAGGAAAAAGGCATGTTGAGAGGTATCTTACTTTGTCCTGTTAAAAAACCTTGCAGCTCTCAAGAGGCGTACCCTTGCCTGTCATGATTTGGAGATTCACTAGTTTCTATCTTTAAGCCTTGCCTAGTAACAAAGTTAGTTACTGTATATCAAGGCAAGAGTTAAATATTCAACAGTAATGCTTGGAAAAGGTGACCAATACCACCCACCTTTGCCAAATAATCTCCAACCCAACATGAAGCAAGTAAAATGCGGTTCCAGACAAGATTTAACGAAGGGGTTGCCTTGTCTTTCATATGACTTGTATGATGGACAGAGTAGCCTCTTTGCACCACCCCACTCTTCTGCATGCCCTGGGCTATTTCTCATTCCCTCCCTCTTTCTTTTGTCTATGGGGTGCCTGTGTCTCTGCTTTTTTCCTCCCTGAGTTCAGACCTCTTATCTTCACCACTCCAATCTGGACTGACCGTCATAGGGCTTGCTTCCTTGGTTTGTCTGACTGCATCCTCTGCAACATCGGAGCTTGGATGTCTTCTCTCCTCTCATTAGCTCTTTTTAAGTCATATGCTTGCTGTATCTCTCAATTGTACCTCAAACTCTCTCTCAGTTTTCAAGCTTAAGTGAGCTTTTCCCATTCTCAGTCTGAGACAAAATAATCTGACTTCAGAAATCATAAAACACAATAAATGCACAAATGGTTTCCTACACTTGTAAGATGCAGCCTCCTCTGAACTTTAATATCTACACCTACATGTGTATGTGTGTAGATGTATATAGATCCACTTTTAATATTACAGATAGGCTTGGATTAAGCATAATTTTTCTAATTCTTTCTTCCTTAATTTTTGACAGCAGAACCACCAGCTTGCCTTGCAAAGTTACGTATCTGTACATTAAACTGCTGATTAAGCTATAGTTTATAAAGCATTTTTACAATCTGCAGAGCATAATCTCTTTAGAGAAAAAGAAGGAAGTGCAGTAAGTGAAACATTTTATATTATCTTAGAGGTTTCAAAATAAAAAAGTGAATCTGTAAATTTTGCAGATATTTAAACATGAGCACAGATTCTTTCCAGGCCCACACTGTAAATTATTCATTACTGAAGAAAATAGAAAAATGTCATTTAAGTGTCAGAAAGATTACCGTTGGAGAGGCAGTGGGTGTGTCCGTACCGCTGTGCTAAGCCACACCAGATAAAAATGAATCAAAAAATCATATAATAACACAAAAGGATTGAAACATCCTTCAGAATTGCCAGTGTGACTGCTTCGCCTTTACACCTGTCAAGTAAATTCGTGAAATAAAACTACAAACATATAGTATGTCTGTGGTTTTAGAAATGGATCACTTGAGAAGAAACAGCCTGTAAAAAGTACTGCTGATAAGAGTAACAAGCAAGTCAGCTTGAAGGCTGCGAGGCAGTTAATACCAGTTTCTGCTGTCACAGATGACAGCTCCGTTTCTCCAGCGGTATTGATACACTAATAAGAGTATGGTTTAATGCAGTGACTTTGTTTAAAGTATAAGCTAGAGACTTGCTTGCAAGGAGCCCAAAGGCTCTTACGAAACACAGTCTTGCATCATTTATATCACTTTTGTCCTATTTTCAGTTTTAAGTTTGATAATAAGAATGGGTGGTGGCATGTGCAGGTTCATTGGCCAAAAAAGTGCAGGGGTCACTACTTAACTCCACTGGGCGGGTTTTCCTAGGTATGTCAGGCAGATAGCTTACCCAAAGCTACAGCCGCACAGCAGGGGAACGGGAACCATGGCCCAGCCCGCGGGCTGCCTTTACTGACACATAATGGAAAGTAAACTAAACTAATTATTATCTAACAAACCCTTTGTGTACTAGGCCTTGCCCTAGTATGAATATGGTTACAGAGGTCTGCTAACGTAAACATAGTTTAAAATGACTTGCTGCTTAATCATCAGGCTGATTTGAAATTCTGCCGAGAGACTTCTGTGAACAGCAGAAACTTCTCTGAAAATTCTCCAACACGGCCTCTCAGTTATATTTGTGATGTTTTATTTGAAGAGTCAATTAATGATCCTTTTTCTCCCCATCTGCTGTGAATCCTTTCAAAGCACAGAAGTGCTTTGTGTATCACTCCAAAGAAGAAGTGCTTTGTGTATTTTCAGACAGCAGCTCATCCAGCAATTTAAGATTTAAGTTCACATTTGAAATACAGGGTACTCGCCTTTGAAGTTTATGCACTTTTAGATGAGGGCTGGAAATAGAAATTGAAATCAAGTTTCCATTAGTGTTCTCTGTGCTGCTTAAAGCAGCTAGCCTACACTCAAGATCCTGCAGATTGTGTCAGGATGAGAAACTGATGATAGAATCAATGTCTCTTTGATGCAATCTTGTTTACTTGCAAAAAAGACACACAACGTTTAGTGTCTCCAGGTATATTAAGAACAGATAACAGAAAGCAATCACCAATTCCAAAGCAGCCATTTCAGACAGCGCTGCGTGTTAGTGCCACACGTCTTGCACAGGCTCCCTGAACTTCCACCACTGCATTTGTATTATTTTACACTCAGCTTCTGCTCTGGGACAAAATAGTTTCTCAGGTGGAGAAATATGGGCAGAGACTAGAGAATTGTTGACACAGGGGCCCTGCCCTTGCATGGGCACAATCTATGCAAGATCTCAGTTGTTTAGGCTATTTTATCCCACGAAGGATGAGGCTTCATGATTTCACACACCCTTCCACACCCTAATACCTACATATCCTGCCCCATCATCTTACAAAAACACATGACCAACAAGCTTTAAAACAGCCACCTCAGTTATGTGCACCTTTGGCAAGATTCAGTATGAACATAAAAGGAGACAAGGACCTTTATTGAGATCTAAAAATGCCTTTGACTTTGCTGACAGGAATACTTACCAGCTGCAGTAGGAAGAGACAGCAAATGATGTACCAGAGGTTGTTTTCATATAAGATGACAAGAAGTGCTTATTCAACTTGAAGAAACTGAAAAAAACATGAGGGTGGCATTTAAATATAGTTTCCCAATCTACACTGAGCTACAGAAGATCTTTAGAATCGCTCCATGATTCTCTGGGCTGGGTCTAGCCACCAGTTCTCTATCTTGGCCTCTTCTGGCGCTGAGACAGCCCAAGGATGCAGGAGGACCTTGCCTGCAGGCCACCAGTGTCAGCCTCTCCCCCACCGCCTGAAGCAGCACTGGCCAGCTAGCGGGGCACTGTGTGCTGGAGCCAAGGCGACGAGCGTTGGCTGGATAAAAATTGCTAAGGTGAGGAAAAATTTTCTTCCCAGTCTTACTCATGCAGAATGAAAGCAGAAGTCCATAGGACAAAGTACAGTGACTTGTACTGCTTTATTTGCAAGGCAGCAGCCACAGGTGCTTATTTTCATAAGAAGTACGTTACTGCCTAGGTGACACCCAGTCATGTCATGCATGGTCACAGGGCTGACGGGGTGCCCTCCCAAGGAATTCCATCCACGCCAGCAGGTGAGTGGTGTTCTGCTCCCTATGCACCATAAAAATACTACCATGCTCCCCCGAAAACGTGCCATGCTCCTGCTGCCAGGTCATGCAAGCTACCCCCAGGATTATGCCATTTCTTTTGGGTTCATGTCTGCTAAGTCACTGCAAGCAATGCTCCTCAGATATGGTCACTAAAGGAATGACTGCAGCTTATGTATTTACACAAAGATAGTGTCCTTGAAATGTGGGTGTCTCAGTAGGCTGTGTCTAGGGAACCTCCAGTGAACTGTACCTCTCCAAACACTACCAAGTACTAACATCTTTGCCTCCACAAATATCTCTGATGGAGAGATACTGACTTGCAATGTTCCACTGCTTCCTTCAGCTCTTAGACCAAGAAGAAACTATGAACAGCTCGAAAGGACCAAGCATCACTTCCCTGACAGAACTCCTGGCTTAGTCAATGCTATGTGGATAACCAGGTGAGTCAGCAGCAAGCTCTGCAAGAACACCTCGCTGCAACTTCCAGGAGTAAGTGTAGATAAAGTGCTGTTAGCAACTGTGCTACGTGATGGCAAATGGTGTGCACTTGGACTGCTATTTTATCTTGGAGTGGCCATGCTGCCCACATATTAAATGTTAATCTGCATCAAGGATGCCTGGACAGCTCTGTTCTGCAGCAGCCATTCCAATTGGAAAGGCTCCATGAGGTTCCAGACAAGTTATGGCTGCATTACTATGTTTTCATTACTGCATACCTGACAACTATGTGGCAACTATAGTTGTTGTGATGATCCGGAAACTGCCCTTGATGGTCTGTTTGGTGCAGCCAGGCACCTGCAGACACATTTGCACGCTACCTACAAGAGCTCAGGGCCTGACTGACCAATGCTGAGTAGAGCAGCATGATGAAAAGGAATAGTGATAAGCAGTAATATCAACAATCAGACATAGACTCTAAGGCTGACAGTGACCACAACCCCTACGGAGAAGAGTGCTCCTTTGTCTCTAGTGAAGCTGCCCAAGCTCTAGAAACCACAGATTTGACATAATTATTTGGTAGACTGCATCACAGAGCATCGTGTGACTCAATGTTGTAGCTCTGTTCGCTATTCAGTGGCTTATACAATACACTGCCGTGTTCAATGCAGATACAGCAGACAGAGGGAATATCTCAAACCACTGCCTTCACGAATTTGAAAAACCACACCGTTCACCTTTCTAGCTCAAAGAATCAATCCTGAACTTTTACTGCTTTTCCTTATGTTCCGTGAGTAAATAGAGTAAGACCTGCAGGCCTATCACCCTCACACCTTTTATCACCACTAAAATATTTTTTTTAAAAAAGCAGCTCAGTGTTAAAGAGATGACTCATAATGCTGCAGCATCAGTTAGCTGACTTGAAAGAGATGTTAATGTCATCATTTTGATTTTCATTACCAAACAATAAGAAGGTAAGGGCTGAAAATGTCTTGCACATCTATTGCCTCATTTTATATTTTAAAAATACAAATAAGCTACAGAGGCCGGTGTATCTTGGTGTGCTCTACTTCTAAAATTCCATTTTAATACAATTTGGGCCCATATTTTGTATACAAGCAACACAGAACAAAATTTAAGTTATTACTACCTTTTGTTTATTTATTTATTTAGGGCGTTGTTCCCAGATATGGTTGAGGTAATATGTATAAAACCCTGCCTCAGGGACTCAAACCTATAGTACTTCTATGAATTTAAGTAACAGAGATAAGTAGATGAGTAGTCCTACAGAGTTCAAGGACAGATGAAGTGCTTAAATGTTTGCTGTATTGTACTTCATCTGCGTAAGTGTTTGCATACAAGCCATATACTATACACAGATCTGAGTAAAGAAAGATGTGACAGAAAAGTTAAAGACAGAAAAGATACAAGCAATACACATGCTTTTTATAAACACATCTGTATGGAATAAGCTAACTCCCTTGATATAAAATAAGTTATAATCAGTATTAATGAACCATACAGTTCAGAAATGAGGTTGAGCTTTTCTTTTGTCTGCTTAGCACCTATTGATCCTTTTTTCTGGTTTCTGTATACATGCCAGATAGGCAATTGCAGTAATGTACCTTAACATTCCATAGCTTCATCTAGGAGGTGCTTTAAGTTATTAAGTTTTGAATAACCATTTTTGTTCTTGGATTTTTTTCACATCACTTATTGTATATCCTAAGTATGTAGAGCGTGCTAAATTTTGTTTTATTTCATTTTCAAATGGGAAAAGACTCTTGGCTTGTTTGAGCATTAGGTTTTGATCTGGCTGAATTTTCCTCCTTCTCTGAAATGTATTTTCACTTTCCATTACATCATAATGCCTTAAGAGTTTCATGGTATGGATTAATGCATGAATAAAGTCCAAATAATTCAAAATATTATTACAACAGTATTCTTCAGAAGATAGGATCAAAGCTACATCAAGCCAAGTGTCCTGACTTTGACAGTGGCCAATAAGGCATACCTAAGGAAGAGTTTAAAATCAGAGCAAATATTGACAAAACTTAGCTGGTATATCCTTCCAGCATTCCATGACCTGTGGTTCAGGAACATCTGAGATAAGGGTGATTTCTTTGTTTGTAGAGGTTAATATAAAAACTGATAGCCAAGTGGACTTTATCCCATATAACTGCAGTTTACAACATATCATATGGATTCCAGTAGCTACCTCCTAAATTAATTTACTTGGGGAACAGTCTAGATGCAAAAGCCAAGAATTTTACATGGACTGTTTTATTAGGATTCCAGTTCCAAAGCTAATATATTAGAATGCAATCTACAAACACAGACACTCCTTTAATCCTAATTCCATAAATATACATCCTCTTGAGAAAAGCATCTTAGAAGAGTGTTCCAAATACAATTAATTAGCTATTACCGGCAATATCTCCTCCCAAAGAAGGATCAGACTACACAGTAATATGCAGTGAAAAAAGACAAGACAAATTAAAAGCACTCAGCAGCTTGCATTAATGGGCTCTGAGTCTAAATGCACAATTAAAATAAAGCATTCACATTTGCAAAAAGTGAACTGTGAAAATATATGGGTTTTGTCTCCGAAAGATTAGTCAAATGTGGGGTTTTGACTGTGGGGGAAAAGGGAGCAGTGAGTTTGGTTCAAACCTAGGCCTATTTAGCTAGCTTCTCTTTTAATATAATTAGTATGAAGACACATTTTTGGGACCACCTACAATTTTGAAAATGGAGCATGTATTTAGGATCAGCATTTCTGGACAGAAAAAGATAAATCTACAAAATGGATAATTGCTTAGCTACTTGGAAATAAAACCAAACAAAAAATCATATAGAGCAGGGTATATTCCATGATATATTGCTATATCATACCTATCAGGGAGTATTTTTAATAACATGCAAAGATGGAAGAACATTATCATTCAAATATAGGCTGAAGGCATTTCTCACTACAGAAAGGAGAGGTTTTGAATCAGTTTAAAGCAAGATGAACAGGCATCAGTTCCTAGAACTTGCTATGATTTCCAGTTGGACTGATGGAGCAGTAGAAGATGGCTGTTAAAAAAAATAGTTACTACAACTAAAACATTTGAAAAGATGATGGTACCTAATGACTTCCAAACTCCATTCTCTACTGATAGATTTCCCTACTGGAAATCTCTTCTCTGTTCTCATAATACTCGTCTTTGTAAATTAACTGACTTGGACATAGCAAGTTTGGTATACAAAGCTAATTTTGAATCTCTTAAGCACTTCAGACTGCAGATATAGGAGATATACAATCACTGTGTCCACGAGAAAATTGTCAGAAATAGTACAAGTTCATTGGAGCATGAAAATACAAGACTGGAAAGAAGTGAGACTTTCTTGCTTGACATCAAAAATATAGTTTACCAGAAGGCATATAAAAGAATACAAAACCATATACAAAAATTAGCAAATGTGTGTTCTCCTGATCAAACAATAAACATCCTTCTTTTTTTTTTCCCATTTACTGGAAAGTTTAAAAAATAAGCATTCTGAGTAGATCCAGTTTCAGTTTGGAAAATATTACACAGTATTTTCCACTCCTTTTGAAGAAGGAAACCATCGCGATCAGTACGTGGTTTCAAACTCTAGGCAAAAAAAAGTGTGCGCATATATATGTAATCTATATGCATTCATTCCATGGTTGGTCACATAAAGCAAACTGTTCTCAATTAAAGGGAGTTATTTCAAGACTGCATAAATTTAACGGAATAAGAGTCCAAAATGAATATCTTATAGTTCAAAGAATAGAATGATCTGTATGTGACTTTCCCACGGTTACTAAGTATACAAAAGAAAATACGCAAACCAAAGTGTATTAAGCAGGCATTGTTTAGGATATAATCTATGTATATTAAAAATAGCTAAGAATATTAACGGACATGCATCTAACTTCAGTGACCTTGGGTTCATGTGCTCTGCAGAAGTCACACATCTCAAATGCCTTTCTTAAAAATAAACAGGAATAGAGA